CCCTGAACGCATAATAAGGAACGGGTGTTTTTTTTTCTGACCACGGTGGGCATCAGACCGCGCGCATGTTCCACGACAGGAACGGCCCAACAAACATAGCCCTTCCTGAACCGAATGTGGTCCCAATTTCAGCGACTTGACTGTGCAGCACTGTCTCCAAACTCCCCCTCTCCCTTGCCAACTTACACGGATCCTCGCGTCATGTACAGCGAGCGAGGGCGGCTTCACCCTGTCCACCCTGGGGCTCGCCGAATTACTCAGCGCAGCTGGCCTTCACCTGGGCACGGGAGGCACGGGGGAAGGGGCGTGGAGGAGAAGGGCTGAGGAGGATTTGGGATGGGAGGCATAAGTAGGAGGAGGAGGGCAGGAGTAGGAGGAGGAGGAGGAGGATGAGGAGGAGGAGGAGGCGGGGGAAGAGGAGGCCATGGGCACGATGAGGCACGGGAGGAGGCACGTCGAGGAAAATGGCGGATAAGGAGAGGATGGGGGCTTCAAGGGTGCGGAGATGGCCCCCCCCCCATGGCGTGACGAGGGGGCCGCATGCGAGGTCAGGAGGAGGACGGCTGGGAGGGGCCAGGTGCCGGTTGGGCGGGGGAGGGGGGCGTCGGGCGCGCACCTGACCCCCTCGAGGCGCCTCAGCGGCGCGCTGGTACCCCTTGGGGAACCTTAACAAATCTTAACAAATCTTAGCAAATCTTAACAAATCTTAACACCAATCTTAACCGGTAATTTGCGTGTTAAGATTGCGTTTTGCAATCTTAACCGGTATTTTGCGTGTCAAGAATGAGGCGGTGGAATCTTAACCGGTTTTTTGCGTGTTAAGATTCATTTCTTAACAAATCTTAACAAATCTTAACACAATCTTAACGCGCGCACTTGCCGACGCCAGGGGCCGACAGGGCGGCGGGGGGGGGCCGACGCCAGGGGCCGACAGGGCGGCGGGGGGGGGTCCAGGGACCGAGGCGGGCGGCGGGGGGGGGGTCTAGGGACCGAGGCGGGCGGCGGGGGGGGGGGTTCTAGGGACCGAGGCGGCGACAGGGCGGCGACAGGGCGGCGGCAGGGACCGAGGGCCAGGTGCCTGCGCAGGGCGATGGGCGGAGGGCCAGGTGCCGACGACGGGGGGGGTCTAATCGAGGTTTGAGGGCCGACGGGAACGGGGAAGGGGAATGCAATTCGACCATGGCCCATATACTGTCCATGGAAGTACTTCTCCTTCGTGCTGCGGAGCGCGATGATGCCACTCACGTGCTTCTCCATATCCTCCGTGACCCCGTCGAGCTGGGAGGGGATCCTCGAAACGGCGAGCGCGTAGTCGCCCGTGTACAATTGCTGTGAAGCCACGTTTAACAGAACAGGGGAGGGACGGCGGGCGAGGTGAGAAGCATAGATGGGCGGAGTGGACCAATGCGATCAAATATGGTCAATCCTTCCCTCCAACCTGAGGCAATTGCGGTAGAGGTGGGCGGGTAGAGTGAACGGGGCGGGTCGAAGGGTGGAGGCTCAATGGTGATTGGAACATGGTTGAGGCGGCAGGTGGAGAGAATTGGAGTGGGATCGCACCCGACATTTTCTGCAACCATTCCCGCTATATGCATATAAATGCGAGCCACACCCAAATTAGCGAATGCCTAATCCTGAAGCGCGGAGCTCGACTGAACACATGCAGACATACAACCAGATGCAACCCACCAGGCATACATGCAAAAACAGCCTGGCGAAGGTATCAACCAGATGCAGTTGTGAGTGCAGCAGTTGTGAGGATCGTCGTCGGTGGAGCTCTCTATGGCGCCCCCCAAATGTGTGAGTGGCGTGCCGATTTGGGAAGGTGGGCGGGTGCACGTGACCCTGCAATTCGGACCTTCGGTGGGGCTCCATATATAGGGCCACGAAACGTGTGAGGGGTTTGCCGAAACAGGCGTGACGCCCACATGCGAACTGCGCCACTGAGGCGTTCGGTGGAGCTCCCTACGGGACCACGAAACGTGTGAGGGGTTTGCCGAAACAGGCGCGATGCCACCGAACGTGTGATGGGTTTGCCGAAACGGGCGTGACGCGCACATGCAAATTGCGCCAGTGGGACCGTTGGTGGAGTTCCCGATATGGCCACGAAACGTGTGAGGGGTGTGCCGAAACGGGCGTGACGCTCACATGTGAACTGCACCATTGGGATATTCGGTGGAGCTCCCCACGGGGCCACGACACGTGTGAGGGGTTTGCCGAAACGGGTGCGACGTCCACATGCGAATTGCACCATGGAGACTTTCGGTTGCGCTCCTTATGGTGCCACGAAATGTGTGAGGGGTGTACCGAAACGGAGACGATGCAGTGATGGGGTGAGGGAGGAGGGGGAGGGGGAGGAGGAGGAAGGACATGAACTCGGGGCGCTGTCTCTTCCAAACGGTGACCCAACACCATGGCTGGGGAAAAAAAACCTGGACCACGCTTGCGTCCATGTTGACGTACATCTGGGCGAACGTGTTAGTCTGACAGATTTGGTTCAGCATGCTCACCTTCTCCTCGAGCGCCTTGATCTCGGGGGTGTTCTTGAAGCTCGCCTCAAGGGAGGACTCGCGTAACATTGGGCACGGGCGCCCCACGCGAGATTGGGGGTGATCATCGATGGCGAGATGCATTGCGAGGGCGAAGGGGGAGAGGCTGAAGGGGAAGCAGGGGGGAGGGCGGGGGCCAGTAGCCCCCATGAGGTGGGGCAGCTCGTTCGTTAGTTTAGTTCCCAGCGTTGCCCACTGGGCACTCGTGTTGACGAGGTCCAACACCGCCTTCCCTGCCGACAACTGCTTGCGAAACTGCAGCGCGCTCTCGGACGCAGCCTCCTCGTCCTCCCTCAGCTTTCTCGCCTCCTCAGACTCATCCTTCCTTGCCTTCTTAGTGCCTCCTGCAGGCCTCTTCGCAAGCGCTGGCTGGCAGCGCTTCTTGCTCTTCTTCTCGCCCGTGTTGAGCTCGTCTCCTGCTTTGCTCTTGCTTGATGGCGTCTCAGCTGCGGCTGCCGCCGCTGGCCCTGCCGTTGGCAGCACGACAGCTGCCGCCGCCGCTCCTGTCGCTCCTGGTGCCGCCATTGCTGATGCCGCCGCGCCAGCCGCGCCTGGTGCCGCCCCTGCCGCCGCCCTTGCCGATCCCTCTGCGCCAGCCGCTCCTGGTGCCGCCCCTGCCGCCGCCGCTCCTGCCGCTCCTGGTGCCGCCCCTGCCGATACCTCTGCGCCAGCCGCTCCTGGTGCCGCCATTGCCGCCGCCGCTCCTGCAGCTCTTGGTGCTGCTCCTGCCGATGCTTCTGCGCCATCCGCTCCTGGTGCCGCCCCTGCCGCTGCCGCTCCTGCCGCTCGTGGTGCCGCCCTTGCCGATGCTTCTGCGCCAGCCTCTCCTGGTGCGGCCCCTGCCGAAAGCTGCGCTCCTGCCGCTCGTGGCGCCGCCCCTGCCGATGCGTCTGCGCCAGCCGCTCCTGGTGCCGCCTCGGCCGCTGCCGCTCCTGCCGCTCCTGGTGCTGCCCCTGCCGCAAGCTGCGCGCCCGCCGCTCCTGGTGCCGCCCTTGCCGCAAGCTGCGCGCCCGCCGCCAGTGCCAGAGGCTGCTCGCATGCCACCATCGGTGTCGCCCTTGCAAGCTGCGCGCCCAGCTCATCTGCGACCGCCACCTCGGGAGGGGGGTTCACGACAGTATACTACTACATGCTCTCTCCTCGTCCTCCTCCTCCTCCTGCCCCTCCTCCTCTCCCACACTCTTCCCTCCTCCTGATGCTCCTCACCATCATCCTCATCTTCGTCCTCATCTGTGTTCGTCCTCTCCGTTGTCCGTTCGTGTTTCGGGCTTCGGCTGCTTGTTCGGTCGTTGCCTCTCCGCCTTTCGTGTTCTCTCGCCCTCGCTCGTTTACCGTAATATAGCCCTCATTCGGCACCCGCTCCTGCAGCGTATTGGAGGTTACATTCATTCGTCCTCCTCCTCCTCATCCTCCTTCCTTCCTCCGGCTTCGCCTCCCCACCATTCCCCCACCGCACCCTTTCGTGACCCAACACCTGCGCTGGAGTCTTGCTCTTGCGCGCGACCTCCTGCTCTCGCAAGCTCCAGCGAGTCTGGAATGTGTGTTCGAAGCCTCTCTTCTTGTAGAGGAACTCGATCCGCTTGGTCATGTCGTTGTACTGGAACCTTGCTGCGGCGGTGCGGGCGCGGCGAGAGTGATACGGGGAGGGAGATGGAGAGAGAGGGAGATAGAGGGAGAGAGAGAGAGAGAGAGAGAACACGGTATACAAGAGAGATGGGGATGACGGGATGGAAATATGGAGAGGGTGTGAGAGAGAGAGAGAGAGAGAGAGAGAGAGAGAGAGAAACGTGTGTGCATACATCTCTGTATACACCTATATAGAGATATATAGGGAGACGAGGGAGAGGGGGAGAGGGCGAGGAGAGCGCGGGAAAGAGGGCGAGAGGGACCGAGAGAAAGCGAGGGAGAGGGGGAGGGAGGGAAGAGGAGCGAAGGCAGGGCGCGCGGGCACGGCAGAGGGGAGGAAGGAGGATTGGGGAGTGGAGGCAGCAAGTTTTGTTCGCCATGCCCCGTTTGTTCCCCATTGCACCAGCCCAGCTGGGTGGCGGCGGCGCAATAGTTCATGGCCCCTTGCACCGCCGCCGCCGATTTGCGGCCTCCCTCCTCAAGAAGGCGCTCGATCACACACGGGGGAGGATGTCGGGCGGGGACGAGGCTGGCCAGGACTGGCGGTCGAGAAGATGGGTGGGAGTACGGGAAGTTCGAGCTCACCTGCACGACCCTCCATGGTAATCTATGTAGCAGGGAGGCGCCTAGCACTCCCATCTTATTGACCACCAATCCTGGCCAACCTCTTCCCCGCCCGACCATTCCCTGTCCCCCGTGTATGATCGGCCAGATATCGCAGCTGCTCCCATTAACTAGTCAACTCACCCCTATATAGGGGCAAGTTGATTAGTTAATGGGGACATGGGTTCTGACGATATCTACCCCCTTTCCTCGCGAATGATCGAGTCCAGGTTCATCATCGTGCCCCACTCTCGCTGGGTGTCCGTCTCGATCTTCGCCTTCTCGCGCTTCGCCTGAAGCGGCGGAGGGCATGACATGAGGAACGAGAGAGGGTGACGGGAGGTGTCTGGAAGGATGGAGGGAGGGTGGATGGGGATGTTGGGCGAGGTGGAGGAGGAGGAGGAGGAGGACATGAGGAGGAGGAGGAGGAGGAGGAGGAGGACCAGGAGGAGGAGGAAGAGGAGGAGGAGGAGAGACACCAGCCGCGACGACAATGGTGGAGGAGGAGAGGAGCAACAGTGGCAACGGTGATGACGGAGGCGAGGGTGGCGAGGATGCGAGAGTACGGAGGGTGAGCGAGAGGTGGAGGCCGAGCAGGAGGAGGAAGGACGAGGGTGTGTCACCTTTGCCTCAGTGTACAGTTTGGGCGCCCACTCCTCGCGCTCGATCTTCTTCATGTTCCGGTTGAGGTGCTTGTACTTCTGCATGGCCTGCGGGGTCAGTGTCCTGGGCGGCGGCCCGCGCCCCGATCGCTGCCGACACCCGTCCCCCGAACTCCTCCCATCAGCCGTATCCCTATCGTCGCCATCGGGTACTCCAGATTTCGTAATAAAAGGGAGGGGGTCTCATTTCGGGTGGGGGTCTCTTCCAGGCTATCTTGGAGGGCCTGGGGGGGTCTGGGGACGATGTTTTGGAGGGTTCTCCCACGGGGGGGGTCTAAAACTTCTCGTCTGGGAGGGTTGAGACCCCCTCCCATTTATTACGAAATCTGGAGTAGCATTACAAACGGTAAGACCGACATCAATTACACACACGATAAACGATGTAGAATCGTTATCGTTGCGATCGATGTCGGTCAGTGCCGTTGTTACCGTTGTGATTGTTGCTGCTGGCAAGCGTGCTCTGCCCCTGAGCTCCTGTAGAATTTCACGCCCAGCGACGAGTTCGCGTCGAACTTGAAGTCCTGCTCGAACGCCGCCTGGATCAGGGGGTCGTCATGGACGAAGCCGTCGACGTCGGAGGCCTTGGACTTCTCGCTCGCCAAGGCGTCCGCGGGGACCTCGCGAGATGACGCGCAGGCAGTGGAAAGGAGGGGGAGGAGAAAGCGGATCGAGGAACCGCCTCCTCGTCCTCCTCATCCGCCTCCTCCTTATCCCCGTCCTCCTCCCCACTCCTCCTCCTCCTGGTCCTCCTCCTCCTCCTCCTCCTCCTCTTTCTCCTCCTCCTCCCGAATGGGTTCAGCTCGCCGCCCACCCCTGGGAGCTCCCAGGCGCGGGTAGAGAGCCGAACCCATTGTTCAACCCTCCGCTGGGCCAGTTTTAGGTTCAGCCCTTTGGGGCGGACCTCTGCGATGTGCTTCTTTGCGTTCTCCGCCAGCATCCGCTCGATCGCAGCTGTGTCCTCGCGGGGCGGATGGGGGGGATGAGCGAGGGAGGGATGGGAGGAGTAGGGGGATGGTTGCGAGGAGGGTGGCGGGGAGGAGCGGGAGGAGAGTGAATAGGTAAGGGCTTAAGGTAGGCAGGATACATCCTGCAACATCTCTGCACCACCCGCTTGCGCGTGCGGAACGTCCGCGCCCGCGCCCGCCGCCTCCACGGCCGCGCCCGTAGTAGCCGACTGGATCTGCAGCGGACCTCCAGCAGCAGCAGCAGCAGTCGCAGCGGCCTCCACCGCTGCAGCACGTGGACTATTCGTGTTCCACGTGCCTGGCGGGAAGATTGGGACCTGGGGCGGGAGCTGCACAGGCGCCGCCACGGGCGCATCGCACGGCGGAGCCTCCTCGCCAGCTGGAGCGCGCGCGGCACACGACAATCCTGCGGCCGCCCGCAGCTCGAACAGCTGCTGTGTCAACAAACGAATCTTCTCGTCCTGGGAATCGGAAGGTTGGATGCACGGCGGGGGGACGAGGGAGAGGAGTTATGAGAGGAAGCATGACTTTTGGGAGCCGAAACCGTCGAGCCCAACTCAGGAGGCAATGGCCTCGAGGTGGAGGAGGAGCAGGAGGAGCTCGGATCAACTGAGCCAGACAGGAGGAGGAGGAGGAGGAGGAGGAAGAGGACGAGGAGGAGGAGGAGGAGGAGGAGGAGGAGGAGGGGGAGGAGGATGAGGAAGAGGAGGGGGAGGAGGAGGAGGAGGAGGAGGAGGAGGAGGCGGAGGAGGAGGAGGAGGACAACGAGGAGGATCAGCACATGGATGCGGAGGATGAGGAGACGCGGGCATAGTTGACCCACAATCCTGCGAGGGCTCTGACGTCGGCGCGAGCGGCGGCGGCGACTGCAGGGGCGGCAGGAGGCACTTGCTAGGGATTGGCGGGGGCGGCATCGAGGCCAGTCTCTTGCGCGTCTCCTCGCTCGACTGCGCCTTCAGCTTCTGCACCTCCTCATCGTGATGCTGACTGTACGACTGCTCCCAGATAGGCACAACGTAACCTCCGCGGGCACCCTCCCCCATGCAAACCACTTACAAAGCCCGCGCCCCCTCCTTCCCCGTGGAGGAGGGGGAGAGACGGGCGACGAAGGGGGACGAGGGCTCCGATGATTGCATTGTGACCGGGTGTTGTCGGCTGCATCTGCTGCTGGTGCTGGGCCTGCTGGGCCTGCTGCTGGTGCTGATGCTGGGCCTGCTGGGCCTGCTGATGGTGCTGGGCCTGCTGGGCTTGCTGCTGGTGCTGGGCCTGCTGCTGCTGCTGCTGCTTGTGCTGGGCCTGCTGGGCCTGCTGCTGGGCCTGCTGGGCCTGCGTGGCGGCCAGCTGGTCGTGATTGGCCTGTTCGGCCCACTGCTGGCCCTCCGCGTCATCGTCGATCACCTCGACCTGTGTGGCCTGCTCGGCGGCCAGCTGGTCCTGCTGGGCCGCGTCGACTGGGCCCGCTGCTGTCGGTGCTTGGCCAGCTGCTGGCGCGGCGGTCGGCTGGTCGACGAGGCGGACCCATGGTGGGGGGGCGCCCGAGTCCGTGACGAACACGCTGCGGGGGGGCGCCATCTGTGCAGGAACCGTGCACCTGAAAGAAACTCTGAGCCACGCATTTCAGATAACACGATATTGCAAACGCATTTCCAAATAAGGAACGAATTGGGCTTTCCTGACCACGGCGAGCCTCGGCCACGAATAGATCCCCCGACCTAGATCAAGGGACGTCCCGACAACTCAAGCATCTCCCGAGACCAGTCCTTCTTTCGGCGTCTTGACTGTGTGTGTAGCGGTCGGCAGCCATGGCCCTGCGCTCCTTCTCCTCCTCATCCTCCTCCTCCTGCTCCTGCTCCTGCTCCTCCTCCTCCTCCTCCCCCTCCTCCTTATAATGTCATCCTTTGATGCTTGCCACGCTCCTCGCCATCCCCCTCCTTGTTACCCTCCTCGCCTTCCCCTCCCGACATGCATCCTTCTCAGACGAACGCGGGGTTACTCGCGGCTTCAGGTGATTCTCGAATCACGCGTGCCGTCTGCCCTGCAGGGAACGGTCCGAGGAGGGAGCGGCGGGGAGATGCGGGCGGGGCGGGCGTGACCACAGGAGAGCGGCCAACGATGCATTTTTCTCGCACCGAGTGGGCGAGGATCCTCGCGCCTCGCCCCATGCCTAGCTGCGCTACTCCTCATCACCTCGAGCGAATACGTCGGGGCTGCTCCTGGCCAAACTCAGCGGCGTCCAGTCCTTATTTCCGATGCGCCCATCGAGCTGGGGACTGAGGGGTGGGGCAGCACATTCAACCCGTATCATATAGTAAGGATGCAAGGGCCTTGGAGGCCCATGTTTATTATTTCCGAACGAGGTTGGCCAGCGAAAGTCGCTAAGGATGTGTCGAAGGGGCAAGGGTACCCCTGGGAAGGTTGCCCATACTTACTATGCGGGTTGACTTTCACGCTCGAGTGAGGGATCAGGGAACGGAGAATGAGCCCACAAGAGGATGATGATGATGATGAGGAGGAGGAGGGACAAGGAAAAGCGTAAAAGGGCAGAAGCTAGCGAGCACGAGGAGGAGGAGGAGGAGGAGGAGGAGGAGGAGGAGGAGGGAGGAGGGAGAAGGGGGGTTGTGGGAGGAGGGGTCTGGCAGGAAGGGTCTGGGAGGAGGGGGGGAGGGGGGGAGCTGGCGAAAGAGGATTCATTCAACCCAGTTGTCCTGGGCTCCGGAGGCGGGGCTCCTCCTCTGCTTGATGTTCTCGGTGGGTTCCGGAGCCGTCTCTGGATCGCGCACTGCAGCTGGCCGTTTCCTTGATGATCTCGGCGCTGGTGAGGATGGCGCCGCTGGCTCTGGTGACGTCGGCACTGGGGGCGCCCTGACCTTGGGAGTGGACGGGCACTCGTCGGCTGCTGCAGGCCTCTTTATGATAGCTGCAGCAGGCTTCTTCCTACGCGGAGTGGGGGATGAGGACGAGGCCGAGGGCGAGGAGGAGGAGGAGGACGGACGGACAGGAGATGATAACGAGGACAGGTTGGATGGGGAGACCGAGGACGAGGGGAGGAGTCGGGAGGGCGGGGACGCGAAGCCAGAGGAGGAGGAGGAGGAGGAGGAGGAGGAGGAGCAGGAGGAGGAGGAGGTGGATGAGGAGGAGGGGGAGACGTGAAGGATCTAAGATGTCTGCGGCAACTCACGGGATCTTCCCATGCCATCTTGTTGGCTCTGGCGAATCGACGCCAGTCGACGCTACATCTACGCTAATCGACGCTACATCGACGCTATTCGACGCTAAATCGGCGCCATCTCACGACTCCCAGACGCTAACCGAGGGTCTACAAGGCTCCCGTGAGTTGCTACCGAAGGAGATCGACGAAGGAGGGAGCAGCAGCAGCAGCATCTCTGTCCTCGACACCGTCTTGCGGTCCTTGAGGATGTCTTCCTTCATGGCCTCAATCTGGTTCCTGCTGGCGCCTTCGGCCGCGGGGGGAGGGCAGCCCATCTACCTTTCCTCCAGCCTTCACGCCCTGCACCACCCTGCGTCCCTTCCTTTACCCTTCCCCCTCACCTCCACCCCCCAGCTAGAGTTGACATCCCCTCGCCCTCAACATCCCCGCCCCCAGCCCCCCCCCGAGCCCCCGATGGCCTCCAACATATTTGTCCGCGAGGCTGCGCGCGTAGTGGAGGCGCATCTCGGGAGTGTCGAACAAGTGGATCATCAGCTGCACCACCTGGGGTCCATGCCACACGTCTCGCGCTCCCCTGGTATCCTATCCCTCCTCCCCCCCTCCTCCTCCTCCTCCTCCTCCTCCTCCTCCTCCTCCTCCTCCTTCTCACCGTCCACCTTCTCCTCCTCCTCCCCCTCCTCCTCCGTCGCCCCCCCCTCGTTCTTCTCCTCCTTCTCCTCAACCTCCTCCTCCTCGTCTTCAGCAACATCGCCGCTCTCGTCAGCCCTCGCATTGCATGTTGTAGTCGACCCTTCCGTTTCCACCCCCGTCGTTTCCACTCCCCCCCTCTCCTCTCCCCCATCCGCATCTCAGCCCCCCTTTCCCTTTCCAGCTGGAACCCTAGTACCTGCGGCTTCTCCTCGCGTTCGTCTCTG